TGAGCCACTACTCAAGACCCTCACAACACTGGTCTATATAACCTTTGCTGATAATCTTAGTTCTCACCATTCCCTCCATTATAATCTACACCCTCATTCACATGAGAGGCTTAAAGAAGATGGAGTATTTGATTTAGAGGTAGTAAAGTGTTTGGATGAAAAATTCGCTGCATGTACGGCATCTTCCTCTTTCTCTGCTGAGGATTTCATTGATCTTTTACTTCATCTTCTCATAGTTTGTCAGTTACCTGGCAATTCACAGTATTTTATCCCATGTGTTTTACCCTGGTCAGCACTATCACAAGAAGAGGAGAGAGACTACAGGAAGGTCATAGACCCAATAGCACTAGCATGGGGTAATGGATCCCAGCCTGTACCTTATGGCCTCTTTACCGGATTAGTAAACTCGCTCATTTCTGGTCGCTCATTCTCTCTCATTTCTATGGATTTTAAACAGCGTCGTAACGCCATTGGATTGGAGTATAATAAAAAAGGTTGGCTAGTGTTGCTTGATAGAATTTGCTTTATTGAGGCTTTCTTTACTGGTCCACCTAATCTCTGTCATGAGATACTTTCTCTGGTATCCACTGGATTGGAAAAAGCAGCTGAGTCTTGCCGTTATCGCCAGGAGTCTCTTGGGGATTTAAAAACTGGATTCTACTCAGGAGGTTGTGATCACATTCATTTCACTCGTGATGGGTTTATTTACTGCCGCTCTAATTATGAGAAATTGTCTTCAAGGCAATCTTACTGGTTCGATAATAGTAAGTTTGTGTAGTCTAATATAAATAGCTACTCTATTCATTTACAAATTAATTGTTAATTATCTTCCTATGTACTAAAAATTTTAAAAAACAAGATTGAGTAGGATTCTGGAGCAAAATCGTAACAAAAGAAATGGAAACAAGGACATGCAGGATTCCAAATGACTAATGAAAATACGAAATGAAAATCCTACTCTCATGACGCAAATTCTACCCTACATTGCAAGGTGATTCATAATAACATTAAAAGTACATTGTAGAGTGGAATTTGCGTCATGCACGAGAGTAGGATTTTCATTTCATATTTTCATTGTCATTCGGAATCCTATGTGTCCTTGTTTCTATTTCTATTTTACAATTTTGCTCCAGAATCTTTCTCAATCTTGTTTTTTTATGTTTTTGTTAGATATGATTTGTCTGTATTGTTTCAGATTCACTAGACTCTAGTGTCATTATAGCTGGACAGAAGCTCTTTATTCTACAAGGAGACAGGTCTCACTCACTCCAGTGGGAGAAATATGGATTCAGATTAGAGTGTCCTCGAGGAGCAGTGTCCAAGGATACTGAAGTAGCTGTTACTGCACTAGCTGGTGGTAATTTCAAGGTACCCAAAGGTACTGTGCTAGTGAGTGCAGTATATGCAATATCAGTATCTAAGGCACTATTAAAACCACTGGTAATAGAGCTACAACATTGTGTGGATCTAAGGAACACTTGTCAGACTGGTTGCCTCAAGTTTGTGAGAGCTCCACTGAAGTCTCCTTACCAGTTCAGTATAGTTGAAGGAGGATCTTTTAGAGTTGGGAAAAGATACGGATCAATAAAGCGTGAGCAGTTCTGCTGTATGGGTATTGTAGCTGAGATGAGTAATGGAGACACACCTAGTGACAGTGAGAGTGAGGAAGGTTATGAGACACCACCTGAAGGTACATGTATGATGGAAATAGTGTTTTATTATTAATAATGTACAATAATAGGATCAACTGATGACACACATAATGATAGTGGTAATGGAGCAGGAGAGACTAGTGAGAGAACTGCCTCACCAATAAATACTGGACTATCTGAAGGTATGTGTGACTGTAATTGTGTTGTATAAAGTTTCATTTTCATAATAGAATCAGTAACTGATGACTCTAATCAAAAAGTACAGAAAGTTGAGTCCACTTCTGGTATGTATGCATTGTATAATTAAAGGGTATCTTTACCCAAATTTGACATACTTATTGTATGGCCTTAATATGATTACCTAACCATAATGATAATGTGTTCCAAATCCCACTGTCTAAAAATAATTATTTACTGAGATATGAGCCTTCAAAGTCACGAAAAATGTTGTGATTTTGCTTCCTGCAATGTTACTTCCTGTCGGTGGGTGTGGCTAAGCGTGACGTCATAGTAGGAATGTTTGCAGATGACTCCATTCCTTCATAGATATTAGAGTACTCTAATATCTATGATTCCTTTATAGGGGAAAATGATCC